CTCTCTCTCTCTCTCTCTCTCTCTCTCTCTCTCTCTCTCTCTCTCTCTCTCTCTTATTTATCTACATAAATCTTGCTTTACGGCTAAAATACCACTGATGGGGATGCCAAGCTTTTGCACTCCCCCTCGCCTTTCAATACCACGGCAGAGGAAAATCAAACTGCTCTAAACAAACTGATGAACTCTTTAATATAGTCTTTACATCATCACAGAGTCCTCGTGCATGTGCTGCTGCGACAACTGCAGGGCTGATAGTTTAGCCTAGCGACGGCTCCCACCTTTTAGATCGCTTCAATGATTTATCATAAAAAAGGAAGAGAAATTTTGGGAAAGGAGGGTAAAAAATGCAAGGATAAGAAAAAAAATCCCCAGCTGAGTCACTGGGATCTTTGATAGGCACAGTCTAGTCATATTATCTCCATCCTAATAAAGCTGATAGCCCTTGGTATCACTCTCAACTTGGCTTAGCGTGAACTTTGAGCTAGGTTGTGGCCCCTGGGGGCCAAAACGTGGCCCTCTCTGCTTATCTAAACACAGCTGAAATCAATTCTTAATGAGCTGCATTCATTTGGCAGGATGGTTTWAGGCTTTCAGACACCAAACACTATCACCTAAGAGGTCTTTTGTTGTTATACCCACTGTTTAAAACAGAGTGGCAAAGCTTTCGTCTGCCTTTGTTTCTGTAGCTCTTCTTTTGACTCGTTTTTTTTTTTTTTAATAACTGGGTTAACATTCAAGGAGGACACATTGAAAAGTACATTTACTCTACAACGGGCAAAGAATTTACTGAACTGTACAATATTTAAAGATGTACGGTAGTAATAGCTGGCGGTAAGTTACAATTTAGCTATTACAAAATTTAGTTTTTGAAAATGTGAGCTAATGTAATGTCTAATGTAGATAAACACAGATAGTAATGATGACTATAACTTGACATGTTTTTGTTTGTTTTGTTCTGGTTTGCTGTGTTTTGCACAGGCTGTCAATCAATACTGAACTCTCCCCATGACGATGAATAATTAGATTTAATTTTTTWTTTTTTTTAGAAAAAGGTGGAACAGCTAATCATTGCAACTTAGATGTCTTATCTGACACGCTGTTTCTATTTCTAAACAACCAATCATAAATGATTCAAAATCTTTTCATGTCTGGAGTGAGGGGCTAAAATGTGGTACGCCTTTGATTAAACATCAGTCAACACATTTGACGAGCCAATACATGAGGGCATTTCATAAGCTCTTGACTCAAATGTCTTTAAATTTGGTAACTGCATGTCCTCCCCCCATATTTGCTGCCCTCTTTAACTGGGCTATCCCTCATGTCTGCTTGTTGCAGCGCCGGGGCTTTTGAGTCTGTGCTCTTCACTAATAAAGTTCTATATTTTATTTATGAGACAAACAGAAAACCCTGGTTCTTGAGGGAGTGTGCGTGTGTGTGCGTGTGTGTGTGCGTGTGTGTGTTAAACAGCCCTGCATGTCCAAAAGTCTTCTTGATATCCCTCTGAGAGCTCTCGCTGCTTTTGGCAAGCCTTTGTTTTCATCTAAATACACTGAAGATACTAAGAAAGAAAAAAAAAGTCACTACATCTGAAAAAAAAAGTACCGTGTCAAGATTCATCTTTTCTTAGAACCGATTCCTTTTTTTTTTTTCCTTAAAATGTGACCTAGAAGCATCCTGACTTTTATTYTCCTTCCTGGTCATTAAAAACTATRTTGTTAGCAGTGAAGGGAAAAGGAGGGTTAAAAAGCGTTTCTATGCCGTTTCTTTGTTCAGGATCTCTTCCTTTGAAATAAAATGCTTTTTTTTGTTCCACTTCCCATTGGTCAATTGCAGTTCTTAAGGKTTACTGTGTCACTGTGGATGGAAAATGCAACTTTGAATTACTGAGAAATAACGATGCTAAACTGTTCTTTGTAAAGAGAGGAAGAAAAAAAGAAAAACAGCTCAGATGTTAGAGGAGAGTTGAGGTCTGTGGCAAGAGAAGCATTTACAGTATGAGTTGAGAGTGTCTAATTGGAGAAAMGCTTAATGCTTTAATTATTCTTGTTTAAAAGTTGCGGATGTCAAACCTAATCATTTGAAAATGATAAACCTTACTTCTAAACAACGACCAAAGATATTTTATTGTGTGCAGTAGTTTGACACATTAGTTTAGTGTTTTTTTAAGAATACATGAAACCTTTGTTGGGATATAAAAGCATACAACTTGTGTTTGTAACAGAAATATACTCCCAATGACTTYCCTGTTTAACCAAGTATGGCACTACTATTATTACTAGAAAAAGCTACTTCATAAGCATATAAATAATTTGTGTGCAGTCCTAATTTAAAGAGCAACCCTTAAACACATAGTGAACAAACCTGGCTTTCAAATGTCTGTGCAAACTTTGTCAAATCTGAAAAACTGGAATAGTCTTGTAAAGAACTGCCTGTTTTCTGTGCATCCAAGTTTCTTCTGTTGATATATTCTCTATTTGGCCTGAAGACGTTGCCATTTCAGGTTGTGCATCTGAGCGGTAGGCTGGTATCGACAGCAGAGCAAAGGAAGGGGTCACGGATTAAAGACGCAGGGTGAAGATTCTCCACAAAACCACAAACACACCCCACAGCTGGTGCGGGCCAGGCCAAGTGTGTGGGACCAAGGCAGGATAAACGAGCATTGTTCTTACCTAGCCTCGCACAGTGTGAATAAGACATCCACCAATGACACAGGGTCAAGGGGCATGTGGCCAACAACAGCAGGAGAAACCGCTGGGCCCAGTAGGTACTGAACAATGTTAAGCTAGGGCCCAATTCTTCACCAAAAAGCAAGCTGTGAGGCAAGCCATCAAAACGAGCTGTTGTGGAGAATGCAGCCGGAAAGAAGTAAAAAAATAAAAATAAAAAATSTGCTAGCTGTCGCAGAATTTGACACCRTCGAGAAACTGGAATGTCGGAATCAACCGAGACATTTGAATCAATGTTTTTAAGCAGAGTGCGCAAGATTGTATTTATGAATTTGCGAATGCAAGTCACAGAGAACATCAAAAGCCTGTGGTCTGCATGCGAACCTTACTTGACTTGAATTATTAAATCTGTCGATGTCGCACACACCAGCCACCCCGCGATTATAGTGTAAATTGACAAACTTTTTCGAAACTACAACGGAAGCCACAGAAAGCTGGTTGATACTTCAAGAATGAGCTTTGATATATCTCTGAGGAATACACTGTGCCTCAATAATGTGGTGGCTGTCAGAGAGGCAGACAGGAGGGAAAGAAAGAAAAAAAAACTTATGCTAACTGGTTAAATCTATTTACGATCCCAATGAGATTCTTTCCTATTTTAGGATTAAAACCAACCTTGATAATTAGAAGAAAAAGGAGTTTGTGTGTGTTTAAGTTAGAAAAAGTGATATGYTTTCATTTTCTTTCTTCTCCACTCCTGAATTAAGGCCTTCAGGAGGAACGCTGACATTGTTTATTTTCATAGAATCTGTTTGTGTTAAAAAGCACCAACACCATCAGTTGAACACACTTGCATACGTAACACACACACACACACACACACACACACACACACACACACACACACACACA